CTCTATCTAAATGCCAGAAAAAGCTTTCATTGAAATATTAAAAAAAATAATTTCCTAAAGGAACACTATAGCGTCAGATACACAAGAAAATATTCTTGGCACTATAGTGCAGGAATCGCCGTTTAGGTCTCTAGTCCCTCTTCATGGAGATTAAAGGTGATTTTACTCACCTTTATTCCTACATCGGAAATGTCTCTCCATGGCTTGCTCTCAGAAAAGCATTGGAAGGCTATTACGCATGCGTGGCATAATACTGCCCTGCGCCAATCAGCATTTACTCATAGAGGTGCATTGAAGCAATGCATCTCTATGATGAACATTTAGCACTCCCATACAGAGTGTGAAGACGCTGAACATAGGTGCTGTACACTGTGCAGCACTGACACAGGAATCATCTCTAATGGTCATCTGAGTGACTGCCATTAGAGGCGTGAATAGCCAGCAATGTAAACACTGCCTATTCTTTGAAAAGGCTGCGTTTATAGCTACAAGGCTGCAGGTACAGACTATAGACACCATAACCACCACATTAAGCTGTAGTGGTTCTGATGACTTTAGTGTCCTTTTTAAACTTTCAGAATACATATCCAATAAATATGTGTTAAACAACCTTGCTAACAAAGGTTATGCTTACAAATATTATGCTTTATTATTATACCACCTGTAAAATCCTTGTAGAGATCGAAATATCCCATACTCCTATCCCAGAGACAAAGTACAGTGAGGTGACTTGCACCTTCGTTTTTTTGCCTTTCTTTAAGCAGAGACTGTGACAGGCAGTGCTGTCATAAAATAATTACCTCTACCTTTGTCGGGAAGGAAGTGAGCCTGCTGAAATTAATGTGAATAAACAGTAATTACTGCCTTCAGAGAATTGGGATAAAGCATACTTTAGGCATATTGTACTGTTTCCGTTATATCCTATTTTTACATGGAAATGTATGACATCATTTACATATAATATGCCCTGGGTGGGTGTACAAAGGGTGTACAAAGGTACGCTTTGTGTCCATCATTAAATGCTTCTCGTTTTTGTGGGAAATGCCGTCGCTACTAAGGTTTACCAACCAGCGAGCATCAACTACCACACCTATCACATTCAGACAGAAGGTCTACATGTGCTCTAATTGTCCATTGTTGGTATTTTATATCACTTTCTATGACCAATGCGCCCTTTTATATAAGAAAAAGAAAAAAAATGCAATAGTCTAGTGATATTCCCCTCCCCCCTACAAAAATAAAAATAAATAATAAATCTAAAAAATATATATTTAAATATAAAAAAATAGATGAATACTAATAGTAATATAATGTGAATATGATAAAAAAAAATTAAAAATGAGATACCCGGGTTATCGCGTTCAGGTTTCCTTTTACTGCTATGTCAATACGCGGTCTTAAGCTACATAGTTGCTGTTATAGAACGGTTTTCGGTCCCGTTGCGGAGTAGGACCTGGGTTTTAACTTTGTTTTTTTTCTCATTTCCCTGACCACCTCCGACGGGCTCACTCTGCCCTCCAGTTACGGTCGGCCTTACGATTCTTCCTCATACACCCCACATTTTCATCACACAGTACGTCCCCTCTCTCACTCATTACCCTTCCCTCTTAGTTAGCTGTTGCTGGCTGTCAGGGTCCTAGGTGTCCACTAGTTTTAATTCCCCCTGGCTTCTTCGCCTTAGGTTAGTGGTCACGCGAGGCCAACACCCATCCTCATATTCAGAGGTACTACGCCCTTCGGGCCAAATCATAGTTAGTCGCCTCGCATTGTGGCATAGGGAGGGCCTCACCTGTCATTCCCATTCTATCTTATGTTTAATCGTCACCGAGAGGCCGACACCCTGCCACAACGTTCAGTGGCCACGTTATCCCCTCGCACCAACGCATAGATAGAGCCTCTCACGCCGCTTGGCATCTAGCAGGGCCTCACCTGTCACCAAACCTAGTCTTAATTGTTTCGCCTTTTGGCTTTAGCTAGTATGCCAGCACTCACACACTCACACACACTCTCACACGCACTCACACTGGGTCTGGTGTACCCCCGTGGGATTTACGCCAGCACGATTTCTCTTACCTATTGCCGGGCATGCTCCGTACGGCCTGACCACCTGGACTCTGACGTGCTTACTCTGCATTTCCATTACGGTCGGCCCTGTGGTGCTTCCTTGTTCACTCTCACGTTTTTCGATGCACATTCATCATGTCCGTCCTCTCTCACGCTACCTTCCCTCCCCACTTAGTTAGCTGTGGCTGACTGTCAGGGTCCTAGGTGTCCCCTAGTTGTAATTCCCCTGGCTTCTTCGCCTTAGGTTAGTGGTCCCGCGAGTCCAACACCCATCCTCATACTCGGAGGTACTACACCCCTTGGGCCAAATCATAGTTAGTAGCCTCACCTTAGAGAGGGCATCACCTGTCACTCCCATTCTGTTGGTCCCATATATTTACCACAACCACCACGTCTATTTCCCATATGTACCACGTACCGTCAAGATTTTCAACAGGCATTTTCCATATAGCTAGGCAATGTAAGGTCTTTTGTCTTATCAGTTGTTGATTGACTATGCTTCTAGCATTTATTTATTTTTTGCCCTCTTTTATTACAGGCCTACCGCAAAGTCGGTTCCGGCACACCTCAACCGATTTATATCCCTCTTTACTATGCTACTCTTTGTACACTTCCTATACTCCATTATTTGCCCCTTACACAAATGCAAAGGCTTGGCCTGTAGTTGTGGGAGGGGCATGTTACCCTACTTAAACCCCCTACTCACCTTCCTCCGTTCCGTACGTGCCTCTTAGCAATCCGCATGTCCCCACCCTCCACTCCCTCTATCTATACTTTTCATTACACCTCATGGGTGGGCCCTCTTTTATTACAGGCCTATCGCGACGTCGGTTCCGGCACACCTCAACCGACTTATTTCCCTTTTTACTATGCTACTCTTTGTACACTTCCTATACAGCCTTATTTGCCCATCACACAAACAATATTCTCCTCCTAAGTAAGATTTTATTTTTTCCCACATAAAGTATTTTTCGCAGACAAATTGGTGAAATGTTCTCAGTGCCAAAAAATGAGATGTCCAATTCACTTCTCCTGATAATTTTATTAAGTCATTCTATGTAAAGTCAAGAACATAACTCTTTATCGTGTAATCTCTCTGAATACGTGGATTTCTTTTTAAAACCTTATGTATCTTTGTGTCCCTCTTTTGTCAAAGACACTACTCATATCCTTCAAAGTTTACAGTCATTTATTTGGAAACCATCTTATATATTAGCTACAGTGGACGTTACCTCCCTGTACTCCAATATCCCTCATGTTAAGGGTTTGGAGGTTATCAGAGACGTTCTAGTCCTACAACATGTTTTAAACTCCACTCAGATCGATTTTTTGGTGTCCTGTATCCAATTTGTTTTGGAAAAGAATTTTTTTTGGTTTGATACTGCTTTTTTCTTGCAGCGATGTGGCGTCGCCATGGGGACAAGGTTCGCCCCAAGTTTCGCCAACTTATATGTATCCCATTGGGAAGCCTCATGCATCCAGCTGGGACCTTGTATGGGGGGGAGCCTTGTCCTATGGCGGCGCTACATCGATGATGTACTTATTATTTGGGAAGGAGATGTCCGGAGTCTAGAAAGATTTATTGAAAGTATTAATTCTAACGACTATAATCTTAATTTTACCCATAACATTCATCCGTTTACCATAGATTTTCTGGATCTAACTTTATATGTAGAAAATGATACTTTGAACACAAAAACCTTCTTTAAAAAAACTGATTGCAATACAGCAATAAAAAAGACTAGTTTACACCATCCAGTATGGCTAAATAATATCCCTAAAAGCCAAATAACTCGAATGAGAAGAAATTGTTCTAGTGTTCAAATGTTTGAAGAGCAATCAAAATTAATACAAAACAGATATGTGGAAAAAGGGTATAATATAGACCATATACAAAATGATATTGCAAAAATAAAGGACAAAGATCGTACAGAATTTTTGAAAGATAAAAATGTAAACCATAAAAATAAAAACAAAAATAACTATAGTTACAAAGATTTTGCATTTATTACCAAGTACAGTTCTGAAGCCAAAAAAATTGAAAAAATCCTTAAACACTGGGCCATTTTAAAAAGAGACGATGTTTTAGGAGATAAAATTCCAGAAAGGCCTGTAGTTATATATAGGAAGGCAGACACCCTTAAAAATAAATTGGCACCTAGTTTGTTACCAAAATTGATTAAAGGTCCAAATTCAAAAAAATTTTTACAATCCACAAAAACTCCAGGTTTTCATAAATGTGGAACATGCTCCACATGTGTTTATCAAAAAAGAAAAGCTACCTCTTTTGTGGGATTTTATACTAATCAAACATATACTATTAAGAAATTTATCCATTGTATATCCACATATGTGATTTACCTTTTACAATGTGGTTGCGGAGCTCAGTATGTGGGAAGAACCACCAGGACCCTACACACTAGACTCCGGGAACATTTTAATAATATTAGAAACCACAAAACGGAACATAGTGTCCCAAATCATTGTAATTCTTGTCATCTATTTGATTGGTCTACCTTTATTGCTATTGGTATAGATCAAGTAACTCCCCATTGGAGAGGGGGAAATAGAACTAATGATCTAGCCAAAAGAGAGGCCTTTTGGATTTACACACTTAATACCCTTAAGAGAGGTCTTAATCAAGATATTGATCTGGCGGGCCTTTTGTAATTATTTATGTTACATGTTTGATTTTTTATGTTTTGTTTTTTTCCTTATTTGTATATATTTTTTTATAGGTATGGTTTTTAGATATGGATGTATATTTAGATATGGATTTGGGTATATATATACTCCATTCTTCTATATACATATACATGTTTATATTATGTATTTTTTAGTTTGTGTTTCACATAGTACTTGGATGTTATCCATATATTGATATACATATTATTGTTTTTATATTCCTTTGTTTTGTATATTTTGTAAACAGATGGTCATTGGTATTTTCTCCCTGTGTCCCACTCGGTGCCCCAAATGCAGCTTGTGCGCCTGGGTTTGTCCGTGCGTTCCACGGTGAAACGCGGAAGTGTCATGGCATAGAGCCGCACGTTATGAACGCCATGCGTTCCAACTTGGAACGCGGAAATGAATACATCTAGCCGCACGTTATGGACGCCATGCGTTCCAGCCTGGAACGCGGAAATAAAAACATCTTGTTACATCCACCGGAAGTGATCACGATGGATGTCCAATCAAAAAACGAGAAGTCCGAACCCGGAAGTGAATGAATTTTCCGCGGCAATTTCAAATGGTGAAGGCTATATAAAGAAAATAGAATTTTTAATTTTCTATCCCTGAAGAAGTCTTTCAAAAGACGAAACGCGTTGGATATTTTGCTACAGAGAGACTCCTTCTCCTGGGTACCACTTGTTAGTGGTGACATGCTGCTATGAACTTTATTTGATGTAAGTGCATTTTGTATAAATAAATTAATTTTTATCTACAATACTGCTCTATATACCTCTTTTTCTTCTGAGGATTGAGCGTCTTGAATTTGCACCTTTGGTCCGTATATACAAGCTTCCTGAGAGAAGAACCTTTTATCCACATACCCTATGGAAGGGAGACAAGTTCAGATCTACAGTTTGGTCCTGTAAGTTCTCTACCTCCGGGAGTGTATTATACATTGACTGTACATGCTTCACTATTGTGTGATTTTTCTTATTTTTTAGATCTTGTGAAGGAAGTTTCTTGTATTATCTACAGGTTGTATATATTTTTTGTGCTACCCCTTTAATCTATACTAGTATTTTATACAGTATAGATTTACTTTTTTGTTCATATTATATTGGTGTATGTGAGGTACACTGTTGGGTGTTTGGCACGTTTCCTCTTGTCTTGGTTGGGAGATTATATAGTACCTTTTTCTTTTTTGCAAGAACATAATACTGCATTAATGGTAGATTCTGAGAACAGAATTTGATACCTTATTGCATTCACCAATTTCCAGCCCTTGAGGCATTCATGCATACAGGGTTTAGAAATGAGGTGCTCATTTTAATGCAATGATTTGTACTTTTGAGAGTAATTAATGCTTGGAAACTTTGACCTGCAGACCAGCTCGTGCTGTTTTAATGAATTTTAGTATATGTCCAGAAAATTAGCATTTATTCTAGTTTAGTTTAAAATGTATATCACTAACTTCTGCTGTGTATGTTATGAACCAAACCATCAACCTTGTTTGTAATGAATTACCAAGGCACTACTTTAGTTCTGCTCTAGGATTTAATGGCGGATTAAAGGACCACTATAGGCACCCAGACCACTTCAGCTTAATGAAGTGGTCTGGGTGCCTGGTCCAGCTAGGATTAACCCTTTTTTTTATAAACATAGCAGTTTCAGAGAAACTGCTATGTTTATAAATAGGTTAATCCAGCCTCTAAAGCCTCTAGTGGCTGTCTCATTGACAGCCGCTAGAGGCGTTTGCGTGCTTCTCACTGTGAAAATCAAAGTGAGAAGACGCCAGCGTCCATAGGAAAGCATTATGAATGCTTTCCTATGAGACTGGCTGAATGCGCGTGCAGCTCCTGCCGCGCATGCACATTCAGCCGAAGAGGAGGATCGGAGGCGGAGAGGAGGAGGAGAGCTCCCCGCCCAGCGCTGGAGAAAGAGGTAAGTTTAACCCCTTCCTCTCCCCAGACTCCGGCGGGAGGGGGTCCCTGAGGGTGGGGGCACCCTCAGGGCACTATAGTGCCAGGAAAACGAGTATGTTTTCTTGGCACTATAGTGGTCCTTTAATCATGCTTTGCAGTCACCACAACATTTCTTAAAGCTTAGCAATTGGCTGCCAGAAAAACTCCATCTACATGGCCAAAACCAAACCTTTCTGATCATCCCCATCATCCCCATCCCCATCATCCTCACTTTTCTGATCATCCCCAAATGTCAGGATACACTAATATTCCCAACACAGAGAAATTATCGAAAAAGGTTTCAATAGCTTAAGGTACTCTAGGATTGGCTACAAGGGAGCATGTGACATTGGAACATGCATGTGACATCACATGCATGTTCCCAATAGTCAAGGACTAAGCGGTTAACTAGGAGCCTTAAAAGGTATTGACTTGCAGCGACCTGCATCTCTAAGGATTTCAGATTTGGCCGCTGTGTGAAGGGAGGAGCGCTCATCAGAACGAAGACCATGCTCAGAGGAAGACCGGCTGGTGTTGCAGGAGTAGGTATATTTGCAATGGAAGAGTTCCCATCTCCACGTGGGAACACCGCTACAATGAGATGCACCCAGGAGCTGATAGGATAATTTGGTGATATCCACAGTTTGTGTTTGGCCCATGGTATTTCTGGATTTGATATGAAATTAAAATAACTAGTAGAGTTATTTACTAAAGTAAGAATTGCACTGAATTCAAAATGAATTTCAAATCATACAGTTAAATTAAACATATTCTTAATGCTGAAAGACTATCTATATTTTATGAATTGACACTCTACCTACAGGAAAGACATGCAATAGTTACATAGTTACATAGTTACATAGCTGAAAAGAGACTTGCGTCCATCAAGTTCAGTCTACCTCACATTTGTTTTTTGCTGTTGATCCAAAAGAAGGCAAAAAAACCCAGTTTGAAGCACAATTTTGCAACAAGCTAGGAAAAAAATTCCTTCTTGACCCCAGAATGGCAGTCAGATTTATCCTTGGATCAAGCAGTTATTACCCTACATTGAAAGATTATATCCTTGAATATTCTGTTCTTGCAAGTATGCATCTAGTAGCCGTTTGAACATCTGTATGGACTCTGATAAAACCACTTCCTCAGGCAGAGAATTCCACATCCTGATTGTTCTTACAGTAAAAAAACCTTTCCTTTGCCTTAGACGAAATCTTCTTTCTTCCAGTCTAAACGCATGGCCTCGTGTCCTATGTAAAGTCCGGTTTGTAAATAGATTTCCAAACGCTTGTAATGGCCCCTTGGCTTGTAATGGCCCCGAATATATTTGTATAATGTTATCATATCCCCTGCCGACGTTTTTCTAAACTAAATAGGTTTAAATTTGTTAACCTTTCTTCATAGCCGATATATATTTCCATTCCACTTTTATTATTTTAGAACAGCCTCTGCACTTTTTCTAGTGCCATAATATCCTTCTTTAGAACAGGTGCCCAAAATTGCACAGCATATTCAATATGGGGTCTTACCAGTGATTTATAAAGAGGCAAAATTATATTCTTGTCCCGAGAATGAATGCCCTTTTCATGCATGACAATACCTTACTGGCCTTGGCCACTGCTGATTGACATTGCACATTGTTGCATAGTTTGTTGTCTATAACAATTCCCAAGTCCTTTTCATGTGTTGTTATCCCTAATTCGCTTCCATTAAGGGTATACGTTGCTTGTGTATTCTTTACGCCGAAGTGCATAACTTTGCATTTTTCAACATTAAATTTCATCTGCCATTTGAGTGCCCAGTCCCCCAGTCTATCTAAATAGTCTCCTTATACTAACCTCCTCTATGTCTGCATAAGAAAACTTCTTATTTAGACACTACCCATAAATTAATAACCACCATAAACCCAGAAATGTTAAAAGAGAAAATAAGAAATTAAAAAAATACAATTTAAAAAATAAAGTCTTAATTAATATGATGGATGAATACAGTAAAATAACTGTGGAACCATAAAGATGAATAGAAAGATCAAAAAGATCCACAGTTCAAGTTCAGCATTTAACCCTTCTGGTGCCAGAGTAAACCCACTTCATTATAATTATTTTTATTACCCTTGCATTATTCCACCTTCACCATTCTTTTATGACAATATGACACATTGCACAAATCTCAAGAAATATGTGTCAACATTATGAAATACAGCACAGGATGCCGATACATCATGCAGTATGATTTATTTTGTGATTTTTGTTCAGTTACTCTAGTAGCTAATTTTCATGTAATCTTTTCCATATAGTATAATTCATATACAATGTGATTTCTGGATTTTATGTGGTTGTTTTACATAGGGTTCTAGGGATGGAACTCTATGCTGGCTCCTAAATACATCTGGATTATTCTGTAATATAATCAGAAGCTGCAGATATTTGTGGATTTTCCAAATAATGAAAGCTGTCTCATTTTCTAGTGGCTGCTGGATAATCTAATAGAAGCACATTCATACTTGAAAATGTCTATAAACAGACAAAATAACAAAACGTGTACTAGTGTCCAAATATTTCCAGACCTAACTGTGTATATATATATATATATATATATATATATATATATATATATATATATATATATATATAGTTTGTAATCTGTTTTAAAGTAAAGTATTTTTTTTTCTGTAGAAATTTTTTTATTGTAGTTACATTTATTAAAACAGATGAGCGCAGTTACTACCTGCTAAGATATTTGACTTTGAAAAAAAATTATGACAGATTATAGCCAACTAAATTTAATTAAACACATCTCTGTCATAGCCACAAAATAATTGTATACGTGATTTGAATTTTCAGGCTCTTCTCCCCATGTCAATTTTTTTTTACTTTTTTTTTTTAACTGTAACAACTTCGCTCCTGGGTTTTGTTTTTGTTTTTTTTTGTTTTTTGTTTTTTTGTGTGATAGACCACTTCCAATGATGCAGTTTGTAATTACATGTAGCTACAGGAATCTAATTATGATCTGTGAATGCTGACAGACTGATTCTTCTGAAAGACCTGTCAGAGGAAACAAATTGGATCATAACTATGTTGGTTATTATATCTTCAGACTGATGTCTGACAGATACATCCATTTCAAACTGTGATTTTTATTAACTGTAACCATAGAAAACCCAGTAATATTGCAACTTACTCTGTAAGATTATTAAGTATATTCAACTGCATATAAATAGACTAACATGGTTACTCACTAAGGTAAGCATTCAAAGTGCATTCAAGAGATTTTAAATTTAAGGCCAGAATTGCCAAAACAAAAGCATAGTTCACTTAGAGAAGTTTTCCAGTTTGTAAAATTTGACCTTAAATTTAAAAGTCACATTGAATTCTCACTTAAGGCAATAAGCCTGTGATTAGTTTCTGAAATTCAAAAATATTAGAATAATCCTCAGGTAGTATATAATGTACAGTATTTGGTGCAAAATCATAATTGAAATGTCAATACTTACTAAAATGCAA